TGCCTCGAGCTGGAGGTGTTGTGGATGTAGTAGCTGTGGAATTAGCTGGTTGCGCCGCACCTCTGCCTATGTTTCGGCGGGACGAGCGGCAATCCCTCTGAATGTGACCCATCACACCGCATCCATAGCATATATGTAAGTCTATAAAGCAGGCCCCAAAGTGCATCCTCCCACACTTAGGGCATGGGAGCCTCCACTGCTGAAACCTTCTGTTGGGACGACCCTGATGGTGGGGTCCCCGGTTGCCCTGAATGGGTCCAGATGACTGTGCACCTATCAAAGACTGGGTGAATGATTGGGATGGTCCTGATGACCCTCCCCTGAATGTCGACCTACCACCACCACTACCAGAAGAACCACCAAAGTTTCCCGCGGACCGGGCCTTGCTGCTACTCTGACGCTCCATTCTATTCTTCAATTTGCGGGTCTCTCTGGCTTGAGAAAATGCCACCATTTTACCATAGTTCATATCGGAATTCAAGGCAGCTGTAGATGCCTCATTAATAGCCAAGGGGCTAAGGCCCTGTACAAAACGGCGCACTCTAGCCTCCATAGTGTGCAGCATGTGAATAGCATATTTGGACAGGCGCAATAACTCCATATGATACTCACACACATTCATACTACCCTGCTTTAGGCTTTCAAACTCAGCGGCACGAGCTACTTTAGTTTCGACAGGCAAGAAATGATCCATAAAGGCATCTGTGAATTCACCCTACCTTTCCGGAGGGCTTCCCTCCCCACGGGATTCCTCCCACAACTCAAACCAAGAATAGGCCACCCCTTTCAGGCGGTAGGAGGCCAACTCCACTCCCTCCGTCTCTGTAGCATGCATAACCCGAAGAGTCTTGTGCATCTCATCAATGAAGTCCTAAGGGTCCTCCTCAGGATCAGTACCCATAAACACTGGAGGATCTAACTGAAGAAACTTGTTCACCATGGAACTAGCAGATTCCCCTGGATGACTAGAAGAAGTAGGCGCAACACTCAATCTCTAGGCCTGAGAAGCCACTATTTGTGCCAACATTTGTATGGCTCCTCTAAGATCAACATCAGACACACCAGAATCGGAAGCTGGAGCTGGAGGTGGAACTGGAATATCAATTGGAGGAATCGTTGCACCTTCTGTAGGTGTAGGGACAGCTGCGGTCTGATCAGTTGTGATAGAATCAGGCAGTGTGGTAACTGGGGGAATATCCTCACCCATCGGGTGCTCGCCCGCATCATCAATTATAGGATCAACTGCCACTCTTGGGGTGACATTGGCTCTTTGGCCAGTTCTTGCCTTCTTCTTAGGTGCCATGTACTGAAAATTAGAGTAATGCGGGAGTTAAAGGAGGAACAATCTTACAACCAGCTTTAGCGCACGATCAAGAACATGAAAGAAGGGTATTATTCCTAAATGCCCATGTAGCATCCTAATTATAGGTGTAGTCGACAACACACCGATAATAAGGACTCTACTAGACACGGCTCTGAGACATCCTAGGACACTTTAAAACCTTAGACTCTGATACCAAGTTTGTCACGCCCCAAAATCGGGGAGCGCGACCGGTGCTCAACCGAGTGAACCCAGCCGAGCAAGCCTATTAGATTTCCTTCTACCTAACTCATTCATGAATAAAGAGAATATATATTTTCGTTATTCAAACAATAAAGTGATCATGTATGCAATACCAATTTCTTATTAGTTACTTCATTTTAAGATCTCAATTTCACACACTTATTTCATAATCTGAATTGGAACTAGCTGATGGGGTTATTCATCTATCTCATGTCCCTACCTCAGCCCAGTTGGTAGATTTGTTCACTAAGCCTCTTAGTGGTGGCTTTTATCATCAGTTGCTCTCCAAGTTGGGGGTTGTTTCCCCCTCCAACTTGGGAGGGGGGTGTTGACGTATATAAAAGCAGCATGTCCAAGTTTAAAGCTCCAGATATAGAGGTCCAAATGTAATATAGGATAGCTTTTATTTATGTATAGGAGTTGGGCCAGTAATATTTTTCGGGTACAAGCCCAATGTATATATAGATAGACATGTAGTTCATTTTAGGGAAGCTCAATTCATTTTTCTTTTCCTCTCTATAATAACACATAAAATTCTCTGGAAGCTTTATCAATGTTCCTCTCATCATTTCAAAAACCAATCAGTTCTTCTTTGAATCTTCTTACTTCTTAAATGTTTACACTTTGCGTGCAAGAAAGAAAGAAGATTGTCTTTTGTCTATTAAAATGAACTTGAAAATATCTTCTTCTTTTTTTGAAAAGCTCTTAGATCTTCTAAAGCTATGTATTCTTGCTAAAACTGAAAAGTTGAACATATAGAACTGGAACTAAGTTTATTTGAACATATTGAATGATGATTGGGGAACTTTATGGGGTACAATATCTTGCTTTATTGAGTTAGCTATATATATGATCAACATTCATCTAATTCAAAAACTTAAACTTTTTTACTTTATAATGGCAAAATACATAAGTTACCCCCTAAATTATGGACCAAATCCCTGTTACACACTTTTTGCAGACAAAAATTACCTTACACACTCAACCTTTTCCGAAGTGTTCTTAAAATGCCCCACTTTTGACTAGGTAAATTACACGCAAAAAGGGGCGCGTGAAGAGGTGAAAATGAGCATTTGGAAAAAAAAAAATTGAACGGTGTAGATTCGAGCAAATTGATCCCAAGATATAAATATTTTTTTTCCTTTTTATCCTTTTCTTCTTTTACCATTACACACAAAATATAAAAAGAAAAGAAAAAAATAGCTAATGCTAAAACCTTCGTCCTTAACCTCCCTGCTCATTGGTCTTGTTCCCACGATAAACCTCATCCAAGCGCTCCAGCAGATCCAAGTAGGAATAAAAAAGAAATAATCTTTAGATTTAATATCTCCACCCCTGTTTTTCTCCAAAGCCATGGAGTTATCAGTGAAACCCTTATCTTTTTATCTTTTATCAGTCGAAAATGGAGTTCTTCTTGAAACTCCGACCGGTGAAATTGTTTAAATTCTGCTTCAAGTTGAAAAAGAAAGAAATTAATACAGTTGGGTGCTTCATTTATATGAATATGGCAGTGGCACAAGAAGAGAGTTAATGGGTTTTTTCTTGTGGGTTCTATCTTCCATGGTTGCCAAGGATTTAGAGGAAGAATCATTGCACACTTCCACTATAACTTAACTGGTGGAAAATCAATAATCCATTTCAGATATCAATCAAAGAAATTCTGGATTTTTCTTAAAGAATGGGAGAAGAAAGGTGTTTTATGAGGGAATTTTCTGATTAATCGGAGAGGAAAGTGGACATGGGGAGGGGACGGTGGGGGTTGGGAAAGATAAGAGACGGGTGGGGTGGGGTTTGTTTTCTGATTTCTTTTTCTTGTTTAAAAATTATCAATTGGGATACAAATTATGCATTTTCTTTTTTTCCCTTAAGTTATGACATGTGTTACAATTTAATTAGCGTGTGTGATGCAATCTCGGAGAAGAAGTGGTCAAACATAAAAAATAAAAATAAAAGGTGTATCTTAAGCACACTTCAGAAAGATTGAGTGTGTAAGGTAATTTTTGTCCGTAAAAAGTGTGTAACAGGAATTTGGTCCATAGTTCAGGGAGTAACTCATGTATTTTGCCTTTTATAATCAAATATAACTTGTAGCAAGTATAGTTACATATTGAAATTAGGTACACGCGTAAAACGGAAACTTTGAATTTTACCAAATAATAAAGACTCATAACCTAAAAGAAAAAGAAATTGTGTGTGAGATTTAATCAAAAAATTTTAACTACAAAAAAGTCTCATAAACCTAAAAGGTATTAACTACAAATAAAGTCATTTAATAATCCAACATAAGGAGTAGAACAGGAGGCGAAAATTTAGGCTACGCAAAAAAAAAAAGATTTCCTAAACCTTAAAGGTAATAACTACAAAATAAACACATTTAATACTCCAACTTAGGGAGTTGAACGTAGAGGCGAAAACTTAGGCTAGACAGAATATTTTTAACTACAGAAACGGTCTCCAAACACTTAAAGTTATTAACTACTCCAACGTAGGGAGTAGAACGAATAGGCAAAAATTTAGGCAAAAGTTTATTAATTTTCCTAAACTGTTAATAATAAGAGAATAATTAAATAACTATTCCTAAATTGTAGGAGAATTAATTAAATAATTATTCCTAAATATTAATAAAATACTCAAATTACTATTTTGTCTAATGTGAATTTTATATTTTAAAGGATAAAAATAACGAACGACATTTCGTTAAAAGTCTTCATACTTTTAATATAGTGTATATAGATATAGATAAATAGATAGATAGATAGATAATTTAGGACTTCTAACTTATATAATGATATTGATATAGATTATGTAACATGGAAAAGAATGCATTGTCATTGTACTATTCAAAATTAAATAATTTTGTAGTCCGTTAATCTATTGGTCTAGTATAATCTCAATCATTAGAATAAAATTTCATTTTTATCCTTAGCTTCTAACAAAATTCTAAGTCGAGGGTAATACTAAATTAGCAAAAAATTATTTTCTCCGGTCCATAATAAGTGGTTTTTTGGTATTTGACACTCCTTAAAAAAATACTAACTCCTAAAAATAAAAGTTATTTTGACTAACTTATCATTAATTAAAATTTATATATTGTTAACTTCATACATTAAGATATGTATATAAGAGCAACATTGGAAAGATAAAGTTAATCTCTTCTTGATTAGGTAAAATAACACTTATTTTAGAACAAAATAAAAAGGTTAAAATATTATTTATTATAAACCGCAACGAGTAAAAGGTGTCTTTGGATTTTTTTTAATCTAAAAAATATCACTTATACTAGTACTTTCTCCGTCACAATGTGATCGTGATCTTTTTATATGCATTTAAATATATTAAATTATTAATTATTATGAAATAATAATTTTTTATATAATTTTTAAATATATAGTAAATTTTAGTTTAAAAAGTTTAAAAAATTTATGTCATAAAAAATCTGACTCTCCGATCTGAACTGTGCCATTAGAGGAGGAAGTAAGAAAATAAGAATTATAGTAACCCAATATTCCTTCTGTTCACAACTCTCTAACTCGAAACTTGTCTTTATTAATTATCTTCTTCAACAATCCACTCTTTATATGTTGTACCAGATTGGTTTCTACCTTATTCTCAGTTTATAACATCAGAAGGTAAGGAATCTCTTTTTGCTTGCTCTAATTAACTCTGTGTGTGTGTGTGTGTGTGTGTGATTAGGGTGGGAAAATGTTGAAGTTGATAACAGGTAGACTAGGGCCAAGTGGGTTTGGATCAGCTTCAACTGCTGAACAGATTACTGATGGCATTGACGGCTCCAATCTCACCGCCATTGTTACAGGTTACTTTCATATTTAGTCTCATTCATATATACTTAGATACTTGATAGATTGCGGATCCTGGATTCGAAGTTTATGGGTTACTGCAATAACTTTAAGTAAATTTACAATTATAACTGAGTTCACAATCAAATATTTATTGATATTTAGTGAACTATTTTAAGGGGAAAATGACATTATATAGCCGCTCTCAAAACAATAGCCGAAAAATGTATATTTTTTTTGTATATTTTATGTATATATACATTCTGTATGTTATATACAAAAAGTATACAAATTTTATATACTTTTTCGGCTACCGAATGTAAATAATTTTTGGCGCGGGTTAAAAGTGATAATACCCCTTTTTTAACACATGTACACTGTCCGGACAAAAGTTACTGGGTACATGTGTGTACCCTGTAGATCCGCCTCTGTGATAGACTGATAAATCTACTACCAGATGACTTTTGAGTTATACAAATAATATAAGGATTTAAGTTAGCTGCAGTTCTGCAGATTTTTAACTCTATTTTTGAAATCTTAACCTCTTATAGTATGTTTGTTACTTCCTCTGTCCAAAATCTCAATTTATGTGATGCAGTTCGAATTTCGAGAGTCAAACCTCTTAATTTTGATCACGAATTAGGACATATAATCTTTAAATTTTTTGAAATAAAATTTACATAATTGAAAACTACATAAAAAATACTATGAGTCACAATAATAAGCAATTTGAGAGCAATTGCTCAAGGAATTATAGACAGCATGATTTAAATCACTGTGAGCTTTGGATGGTGATGAACAGACAGCTTTTGAGTTTAAGCAATTTGAGAGCAACTGAATTTTAAAAGTCTGTCTTCATTGCTTTTTCTATTTGTAGTTCAGTCTTCACTCTTGATTCTACTAGCCGTTGCTGATCTTTAATTTTTTTCTTCATCTACAGTTTTCTTGCCTTGTTTGGTAGTATCTTGATTCTGTATTTGTCGGCTTCTACAACACTGATATAATGATTCTTTTTGCTTCTAAATTCTAGGCTCTGCGTCCAATATTACACCATTTATTCCAAGAATATTTTTGGCTTCGTTCTCTCCTTGAATCAGTGTAGAGTCATAATCTTTTTAACTGCACCTTGAGTCGATCCCCTTAGTATCTTAGATCAAGTCCTTGGAACCCTCTCAGCATCTTCTTAGTAAAGGACAGTATACTTTGTAGCATATCATTTCGTAAGATAGGATTTGAATTTAATCATATTTCTAGCACATGGCTTGGCTCAATTCAATCCTGTAAAATTGAATACACACCGTTATTAAAATTTAATTCTCAAATTTTGTTATCATCAAAACTATAGATGAGTTGTTGAACCCTTGGGCTAACATGTCCGGCATGGGTGAAGAGATTAAACGATTATCCCCTCAGGTCAAGTTTCTCAATAATCACCTCATGAGCTGGTTTTGTGTGGTTGAGTTACGTCAAAGATCAATTTTCTTTAGAATGTTTTGTAATTTTCAAGTAAACGTTTTCATGGGTTGAGAGGATGAGCAATTATCTCCTTATATGATCTTGGCAATCTTTACCTCCTGATATGAAAGTTGGCAATCCTCACTTCATGTGCTAATGTTTGGTGTTGAGTTAGGCTCATGGTGTACTTTATTTACAGTTTATGGTAATTTTCCAATCAACTTTGTCATGATAGCGCATTGCGACTACAGGAGGTGCAAGCGGCATCGGTTTGGAGACAGCAAGAGTTTTAGCTTTGAGGAATGTCCATGTCATTATTGCAGCAAGAAATATGGAGGCTGCAAATGAAGCAAAGCAGCAAATTCTGAAGGACAATAATGCTGCTCGCGTCGATGTTGAGAAACTTGACCTGAGCTCAATTAGAACAGTGAAGGCATTTGCTGATAAATTAAAAGCACTTAACCTTCCTCTCAATATCTTAATGTAATTGCTCTCTTTCTCCAATGTGCTTTTCGATAGAGTTTTACTAGAACAATATGTTTACCTAATGAGAATTTGCAAATTAGAAACAATGCAGGTATTATGTTCTGTCCATTTCAGCTTTCAGAAGATGGCATAGAGACGCAATTCGCCACAAATCATATAGGTATATATTACAATGTGTAACTTGAAATACACATTTTGGCTGAATTATTTACCTTATCATTTAATACTCATTTTGAAAGAAACCACTCTCTCGACGCAGCTGATCTAGTTCGCAAATCTCTATTTCTTGGTTTTCAGGTCACTTCTACTTGACTAACCTTCTTATAGACAAAATGAAGGAAACATCAAAAGCTACTGGTATTCAGGGTAGGATTGTGAACCTGTCATCAATACTTCATCAGTACCCCTATAAAGAAGGAATACAATTTCACAAAATCAGTGACAAGAGCAGGTATACTACATTACCCTATCAACCTTTTGTCCACTTCAGGACAGTGAACTAAAACTATCGCTTTAGTTTACTTCCAACCGTTGTTTCTTGAACCAGTTATCAAGAAAGACTAGCATATGGGCAATCCAAGTTAGCCAACCTATTGCATTCCAATGAACTTTCTCGTCGCTTGCAGGTAACTCAATAAACTTGTTTATTACTGCAAGCTATCCATATGAGGAGCAACTGATATAATATCAAAACTAGATGTCTCTCTTAGCATAGGCAAATCCAAGATTTAGAGTCAACAGGTTCAAAATGGAGGTAATCTAGTATATATTTACATTTTAAAAATCTTTTTACATATGTATTAGTGATTTGAACTAAAAGTATTGCGGTTCAGTTGAACTCGCTGAATTGCTCTAGATCGGCCTCTGCTGTTAGTCTGGTTTTGGTTCTTGGCCACATGGGCTCATCAAACCAATGGCTTAACAACCTATCGTCCTTGGCATATTTCCTGGTGGCTAGGTTGTCCATCACAGAGAAAAGATGTACAAGTTTGCGTTTGGAGATGTTGTGTCACAACCTTAAGTTGTTGGATTGTGTGAATCCTCTATCTTAAAAGTATAAACAGTTAGAGCTCAGACACTCGTAATATGTTATATCAATCTTCAACATGTCACTTCACATGCTAGTGGTCGAGCATGTGGAAATTCTCTGACAATAGGTCGTGTAAGAATCGCATTCAGAATATTCGCGTACTTTAATATCATGTTGAATTGAGCAAATCTTCTAATATACATGTTTAAAATGTTGATTGGACACTTTTATTTATTGATATTGGTCTTAAACAAAATTAATGTATTTACTGTATAAGAGAGTTTGCACCTATTCATATTCCTTGTATTTAAGAGATTAAGTGAATAACTAATGAAAAATCTTTACCTGAATTTGCAGCTAGATATACACTCAGAATACTTTAAAAAAGTGTAATATTGTCCTCAAATGCAGGAAGAGGGAGCAAATATAACTGTCAACTCAGTGCATCCAGGTTTAATAATGACAAACCTCATGAGACATTCTGGTCTTTCAATGAGTATGTATTCTATATTAACCTCTACAAAAGATTGCCTCTACTACACTCATTTTTCAGGAATTTTACTTGTATTTTCTTTGACAGGAATCTTTAGGGCTTTCACTTGTTTCATGTGGAAGAATGTCCCTCAGGTAAATAAATTAATTCCTGGAAAGGATTTTAACCTTTCTGAAAATGCGTTGTCACAAAAAGTTAACCGCATTACTGAGTTTAAAGCTTTATAACTCTAACACATCATCAGAACAACTATAACTAAAGGAATAGAATGCACCTATTAGCTGAATAACGACATCTGCTAATTTTTGTCTTTTTAACTAAATTATCCCAAAGTTTCCCTGTAGAACTATATTACAAATATGCAGAGGATTATACTATAGGCAATTTGGTATTAACGAATCAAGAAATTCTGTTAATGGCTTCCCAACAATGCCCTTGTACCTTAATCAGAAATTAAAGAAGCGCCTATATTTTGAATAGGTTCAAAAGTCAGTGTTTTGCCTCTGTGGTCTTCTATTCGAGTATTTTAAAGGATTAACTCTTCTGGCAACGAGATAGCTAGGTTAAATAAGTTTAATTTTAGTACACTGTCTAACCAACTCTATTGATCATGAGATGATAAACTAGGAAATAGGGGCAATGACCTACTATAAGGCACTGATTGTGTAAAGAATTTGCACTATTAGCGTATATGAGTTAAATCTACGTTAAATTTGTTTGGACACCTATGTGGACCTTTAATTCCAGGTAAAATGAATTGTTCTCCAACAAAATAAGGCATTACGATATCATATCTTTATGTAATAAAGTTAAGGTTCAATATGAATGAACTATCTGGGCAATCATACTTCAATAATTATGTAAACTGTCATTAGATTTTTGAAGAAGAAAATACATACTGGGATTGACAATGATTCTATTTGACAGGGAGCAGCTACGACATGCTATGTTGCCCTCCATCCAAGTCTAAAAGGCGTCACTGGAAAGTATTTCGTTGACTGCAATGAGCATGAGCCAAGCAAGCTAGCACAAGACGAAGCTTTAGCTCGAAACCTTTGGGATGTCAGTAACAACTTGATCAATGCAGCTTTAAAGAGTTGATAAGTTGATAATTCCTGAGAGAGCCTGGAAAGAAATGTTATTTCCTTCATATTTAGTGAAACTGTTATTAGAAGTTTGTTTGAGTTAGCTTTTCTAGTTTTGTTTAAAGTCTAAATGAAGTGCTTTTTGCTTTTCTCTTGGTTATCAGCTACTGTAAATGACTCTGCAATGTCTATTGTGTTCAAATTTTACAGTAGGCAAATTCAAATACTGATTAACCTATATCACAATTAACAATAGACTTCATTAACAAAAGATTTTGTAGACCAAGATATCCTAGTGAGATGTGATTTATTTTCATATTTTTTGCAACTCCTGGGTGATTGACTGATTGCTATGTTTGTCGAGTAAAATATCATTAAGAAAATAATTTGTATTTTCACATAATGTAGTTAAATTATTCCTTCTATGTAATTTGGCAGGAAGAGGAATGTACCGTGAGAGAAGCAAGGAAGTCAACCTCATTCAAATATACAACATGGATCCAATGTTGCATGTTTATCATGCTTTGAAACGAGTAGTTGATAGAGTTTTCACGTTTTTACAAAATCATATTTTGGCCTTTAATTCTCGTGATTGTTGCGTCGCAATGATTCAAAAGTCGTTTCAAATATGCATCTCACCAAAGATTGTTGCCACTGTTTTCACAAATTGATCATGAGAACCAATGGATGAGATGAGTAAACAAAAGTCTCAATTAATTGTATCAATAGGTAGGAAGCTACTCTTTTTATCATTGGAATTCTTTTTTTCTTGTCACTATTCGAAAATAACATACACCGGTTTATGGATCTAATTACAATGTCAAACATTATGCTTAGGGCTCCTTCAATACAAAATTGCGATAATTAATCCCAAAAATAAATTTGAGATGAACTTTAAAATCGCGATATAACTAATCCCGAGATTATAGTGTATTTTTATCCCTGTGGAATAACAATCCCAAGATAACTAATCCCGGAATATTAATCCTAGAATAACTTGTTTCCCAACCAAACGACACCTTAGAAGTAATTTAGGTAGTCTTTATTAGCTTAAGAGAGAATCGGTGGAAACATATAGAAATCTTAACACAGATACGACATGCTAAGTGTGCAAGCCTATTTCCTTCTAAAAAATGTTGAGAGTCTACTCCATTTTTTCATTTACTAACGAACTTCTGGAGTCTCAGGACCCTACTAGTAAATTACTTCCATCTCATACAAAACTCAGCATGCCCTAGCTCCATCAATGGTTGACAAAGTACATACCCATTAGAACTTGCAATATTACACAGCCGATATGAATAAGCACTTGAATTTTCCTTAATACATTGATAACTTCACAATAATTTGGTGGAGTTCGACAACCAAAAACAACAGATAATACTCCTCACAAGAAGCATCAAGTTCCTCCGACTTGTCTCTTCCATGAATCCTCAACAATCAATTCATCGACTCCCCAATCTTCATAACTAATACAACACCAAAAAAAGATAATTAAACTTAAGTAGGATGAGGATGAGGCAATAAATGGGAAAGAAATAAAAACAGATGCTTAAAGACAAAGGAAGCCTTGCCTTCCATCAGGCAGGTAACGGCGAATTGTGAATGGTATCTTTCTCTCTCGGAGCTCCTTCATTGCAATCTTTTAACATAAATGAACATTAACGAAAAAAACATCAGGCAATCTAGAAACTTCACCAAACAAACATTGTGTGCATAAGTCTGAACTATGAAGGAAGATTAAAAAAGAGGCTCACCTCAAGTGGATCAGTTTCCCCCTCCAACTCAACCATCACAGGAGCATTCATGCTGCTCAAGGAATAAAGAACTCACCAAATTATAAAAGATTGCATTTGGCTTCACAAGTTTTCAAACTCTAAAATACGAACTTGGGAATAATGCAAAGCTGGGAAAAAACAAATGGACCTGATCTGGAGTGCACGAGTGCCCAGGATTCTAGCACGTTCATATTTTGTCATATACTTCGACGTCTTCCGAGGTCGCTCCACAGGCTCTTGCTCTGTTTTCTCCTCACCTTCACCCAACAGGGGGTCTGGTATGTCCTCATTGTTGCCATTATCTTCTTCAATCTCTGCTCCTTCCTGTCGGTTATTCCAAATAATGCAATATGCTTCATTAAGCACAAATGAAAAAAAATTACATACCCATAATAATGAATACAAGGAGAAATCATCTTACATCAGGCTCAGGTTCTATTGGCTCGTCCACGTATCTGCACAAATGTAGACAGATAAATGCCTAATAGGTAAAATACCCAATGACCTTTACCAGAATCCAACGTAATTCATCTTCACAACCACCAAATCAGAAAACAAAAAACAAATACACCAGTAACAAATGGTTTAACCACAAAAATAGCTGTCCTCGCTGGACTGCTGGACTTAAAGGTCAATGCCCTATTTCCATTGTATTAATACAAAGCATTTCTGGAGCAAAATAGGACACTTCTGTGAACATCATGACCTTAACCTCCAGCACTGCTGGTTGTCCATCCCATTACCATTCATGTGAAAGTCCTCTAGAATGCAGCTAGTTAAGCGACTTTATGCATAAATTTTTTCAAAATCATTGATCGACAAAATAGTATATTACCTTAAATGAACTAATCAGCTAAATTTCAAAATAATCTCAAACCGGCACAAATGATCCATTAAAAGCAGCAATCCAGAATAAGTTACACTCAGTGGTACTGTCGTAGAGCCGTTACAGGGGAGCCTCCGTCTACCTAATTCTATAAGGGCATCCTGCCACCTTATCCAACAAGGTCCTTTTAAGAATAGACTCTCCGACCAATACACAGATACTTGTCATTGAATAGTGTGAATCGCCTCATCTAAAATCTTAAACTTTAGAGGTGACACTTCTATTTGTTTTGTTTTTTTTATCTGCATACGTTCCTGACATGTTGGTCTAAAAATTTTCCTTTCGGGCCATGCATGAGAAAATATTTTTCTTGATGTCTCACAATAAGACTCAAAGCGAAGACTTCTTTCAGCTCTTGTGTGAACCGCCTCATCTAAAAGTTAAATTCTGAAAGCCAAATCACCTTAAAGCTTAAGCAGTTAACAAAGGGGGCACCTTTATTTGTTTACTTTAATTCTGCGCCATGCAAAATCAAGAAGATGAGAGGAAGAAAAAAACAAGACTACAGGTTCTCGAATGCTTATAAGAACTTTACAATATCAACTAGGACCAAAATGGCTATATCCATTTGTGCCAATTTCAGCTGAACAGACCTCAATATAGACTTCAAGACCTACCCAAAAGAATGGCAATGTAAAATTCAAAGTAAAGAACTTTAAAATCCTAAAACGTTAAAACCCAAATGCATAAACCCTAAAACAAGTTAAACCACCCCTACGATAAAACCCAAATATTAAACAAACCACCAGACAAACCCTAAAAGGTTAAAGGCACGAAATCATAAGCACTAAACCCTAAAAGAGGTTAATATCCACTGGAAATCAGCTAAATATACCAAAAAGGAAGAATCTTTCAACTGAAAAAACAGAGATAGTCAAATAGCAAGCGATTAAATCGTATTACCCACAATAAGCCAAATAAGCATAAAATTTGCTCAGTAAAGTAAAAGGAAGAAAAGGGGCACTAACCCTCCGTCCATATCATAGTCATCGTCCGCCATTGTTGTGTCCGCCTCACAGCTCTCTGTCAATTGCTGTCTCACTTGTGTATATTTGCGAGGGGAAAGGGAGGCGTACTCCTTCTGTGAATTTGTGAGAGTTGAACCCAAAATCAAACTCTAAATATATACTACGGCCCATTTGGAGGCTTTTATATTTATCTCAAATGGTCCCTTAAGTTTGAGATATGTATGTTTTATGTCTTCATTATATCTCAAACACACATGGTTTGAGCTTACGAAAGTTGAGCACTTTTGGTTCAATCGACTGTATTCAAAACGTACGGTAGCTTTTGAGCAACGGTAAAATTGTCTCTGTGTGATATATAGGTCATGAGTTCAAGCCGTGAAATCAGCTACTAATATTTACGTTAAAGTAGATTGTATACATCACACCCCCTTGGAGTGCAGCCCTTTCCCATACCTTGTGTGAACACGGTATGCCAGCTTTATTGCACCGGGCTACCGACTGTATTCAAAAGGTGCATTTAAACTAAAGAAATTTGGGCAAAATAGATCAGGAACCCCCGGAATTTGACGATTTTTATTCAGTGCATACCTAAATTTTACATTGGCTTTATTACGCTTTGAACTTGATAATTTGATACCATCGACCCACCAAGACATTAATGTGACAAAAAGCATGAATACCCTCTCTTTTAGGCTCGTGAAAGGAAAGAAAAAAAAATAAAGAATCATCTTTCAAGTGAGGTACTTTTTAACTATTAAGTGTCACATAATATGACATAATGATTTACTTATTTCATCTGTATGCCTCCTTGTTTTATTTTCATATAGATTACATATTTTGTCCCAATTGTATCTTTTTGTCCTCTTAGATATAATGACTATTTGTTTTAACTGTTTATTCACTTTTGAGCTAAATCTGCAAATTTTAGTTTAAATTCTATTATTTTAGCCAAATAAAAAGAAGGTTTAGCCAAAGTAATGGAGTTCAAACAATATATTTTCTAGAAAAAGAAAAAAATGTGCGTTTCTTTCTTTCATGCAACGTTTGGTTGAAGTTTCATAATATTTAGCCAAAAACAATTAACCAAAATAATGGAGTTTTAATTCTATTTTTTTTATTTCTTCTTTAGATACAATAATTATTTAATTTATTTTAACTATGTATTTCTTTTTTAGCTAAACATATAAAAATAACTTAATTAGAATATTATTATCTTTAGCCAAATAAAAAATTTATTTTCAAAATAATATTGCTTCAAATTTTTTTATATATATGGCCCGAGAAAAATGGTCCAAATAATTGGTGGACTTAAAAAGATTTTATTTTAAAACATGCCATGTGGACATAAAAATCCATGTGACATTGTGTGTGCCACAATTTCATGGGTTGTTAGCATCCTAGGAGGTCGAGACTATCAAATTGCTAAGTTCAATAGAATAATTAGGCCAACAAAAAATTCAGGAGAGTACTAAATAAAAGACGCTAAGTTCAAGGGTCATGATCTATTCTTGTGACTAAAAATAATTTAGAGATCTTCTTTTCCAATTTCATCTTTTTCTCTAATGTCAGTACTAATTATATAAAAGCAGAAAAGT